AAAGCAAAAGAAAAACTCCTTCATTGATATACAATCCCTGCCCTCTTCCCGGGTACACTCCGCTATGCAACCTTCACTCTGGACTCTTGTCATAACCGTAATACCCGGTCATATATCACTTTTAAACTGTTCTCTCCCTCATCTGTTCAATGCAGTATAATTTATCCAATTTTTCTCAGTCTCTTCCCAATCCTGATGTCAGTCCCATTCTACAACTATGCAGTATTTGTCCTTCTGTGGCTGAAATACTTCACTCAGCATAATGTCCTCCAAGGCCACCCATTTTGAATAATATTGCATGAGTTCCTTGTTCTTCAATGTAGCACAGTATTCCATTGTGTGAATATACTAGAGCTTCTCAAAATTTCTCCAACAGAGTAAAAAGGAAAGCCATAGATTGAGAAAAAATATTTGGTAATGACATGTCAGATAAGGGATTTATATCTAGAATTTATAAAATACTCAAGCACCACAACAAGAGAAAGGTAAATAACCCAATTGAAAAATATATACAAGAAATGAACAGAAACTTTACCAAAGAAGACATTCAGATGGCAAATAAATACATAAAGAAATGCTCAAAATCCCTAGCTCTTAGAGAGATATCACCTCACCCCAGTAAGAATAGCAAAATTTAACAGAGCAGCAAACAAATGCTGGAGAGGTTGTAGAAAAACTGGAACCCTTATTCACTGTTGGTGGGAGTGTAAAATGGTACAACCATTATGGAAAGCTGTATGGTGCTTTCTCTAAAAGTTGTGAATAGAAATACCATTTGACCCAGCAATTCCTCTACTGGGAATATACCCTAAAGAAACCATAACTGCCACCGAGGCAGATATATGCACACCCATGTTAATTGCGGCTTTGTTTACGATAGCAAAGAACTGGAAACAACCTAAGTGCCCATCAACAAACGAGATTGTCTCTCTTGTTCTTTCAGAGAAGCTGGTGGATTCAAACTGCCTGCCGTTGGGATGGCAGCACAGCTCCTTACCCACTAGGCCACCAGAGCTCAACTTATTTGTGAAGCTAAATTAGATTGAGACTAAAGCTGGTCCCAGTTCATCCTAAGCAAGCTTCAATGCAAGCCTCCCAATGATCTCTTTGAGATTCAAAGTAAATTATAAAGAAAATGTAACCAAAGTTCTCTGGAGATTAGTGTTATGAATTGTTGTTATGTACCATCGAGTTGGACCTAACCCATAGCTGATCCTCCAGCAGGTTTTTAGAGGCAGTTAATCGCATGGGAGATTACCCATGCTTCTTCCAGCTGATAGATTTGTTGGGCTTTCTACCCCTGTTCAGAAACCACTGTAAATAGCAACTGGGACCTTTGAGAAATTGCTAGATGTACTTTGAAGAATCAAAATTAAAATGTTTAAAGATGGCTTTGGGTGTAGATTATTTTCCTCTGGCACATATTAGCTATCTAGCTAACAGTTGAAAGAAAGTCCCTTAAAGATACCTTTATTCACTTGATTCCTTGAGTGAGTCTTTGACTTGGGGACTGTAGCCCTTCTGGGCTTTGGTTTTTGTTGTTTCTAAGATGTTTGCAGATGCCTACAGGGCTACTGCCAAGAATGGAGGAAAATCATGGGCCCCAAGCTCTCGGGGAGGGTTAAACAGACATAGAACCCACTGGTGGTTTAACATCTGTAGTGGAAAGTGATTGGACTTTCTGAAACACTATCAGTAGACAGGTATAGACTCTGACATTATTGGGAGAAGAGACATGTTTTAAGAGAAACAGGCTCTGTAAGTCTTGCAAACAAAAAGTTGGAGAGAGATAGTTGTTGCATTGTTCATCCCTGGAGCTGTGACCTGTCTGCCTGGGTGCATGAACCAGGGGCTATCAGGCTGGTTCAGAGCCATCATGCCTCCTCACTCCTCCTATTCTCATCCTTTTTCCACAGGGGGAGTTGACCATGACCAGCGACATGGAGAACTTACAGAACGCCCTGTTCCTAGACATGGTGCCTGAGCCCTGGGCCCGGAGAGCCTATCCATCTACAGCAGGACTGGCAGCGTGGGTTTTGGATCTCCTCAACCGAATCAAGGAACTGGAGGCCTGGACAGGAGACTTTGCGATGCCCTCCACCGTGTGGCTCACAGGCTTCTTTAACCCTCAGTCCTTCTTGACGGCCATCATGCAATCCATGGCTCGCAAAAATGAGTGGCCGCTGGACCAGATGGCCCTGCAGTGTGACGTAACAAAGAAAAACAGAGAAGAATTCAGGAGCCCTCCTCGGGAAGGGGCCTATGTCCATGGCTTCTTCATGGAAGGTGCCCGGTGGGATACACAGGTAAACCCTGGAGGAAGTGAAAGGGCTTCTTTTTCTTAAAGTGTTACAAGTGTATGATTTACATAGTCTTCATATAGGGTGTGAGGACAAAAAGTGCTCCTGAATGTTTTTACCTAGATAATCTTTCTTTCTTTTAAGCTGTCAAACCATTTTTATGCAGTTAGGTGTGGTCCAATGGGAGCAGAGTGGATTGAAAGAAAAGGTTCAGAACCCAGACTGGCTAAGCTTGACACCTGCTGTTGTTGTTAAGTGCCATCAAGTCGCAGGCAACTCATAGCAACCTATGAAGGAGAGTCCTCGACGCTTGGGTGCCTTTCATCCTCTCTCCAGGTTCATAGGGTTTCCGGAGGCAAGCTATTATGGAAGTGGATGCCACTGCTCCTTCCAAGCTTGTTTTAATCGAGGAGCTCCACCCCACTCTCTGTCAGCATTGGGTAGCCAACCATTAACGCATTTGACACATCAGTGTCACAGTGTTCAGCCTCACAGCAACCAAAAGTGACTGAGGTACGGCATCTTGTACACCAGGGCTATACGACCTAGAGGAATGTCTGAACAAAAACAATGAAAGACTGGCCTGAGGGCCGCTGATTAAAAGTCACCCACCTTTGTCTTGGTATCTTGGTAGCATCGTTTTCTGTCCACTGGGCCAGCTGATCTCTCCCCCCCCCACCCCCGTTGATGTTATTGTTAAATAGTGCAGAAATATTACAGAGACATCAAGGACTGAAGAATGACACCTAGGACACATTTACTAACTCTGTGACCTGGGATGCAGTTTCACCTCCTAAGGTTCCTATTGGGGGAGCTCTGGTGGCCTAATCCATAGGAATTTGTATTGCATTACAACTCTCTAGGTGTTCTAATCCACCAGTGGTCCCTTGAGAGAAAGATGGGCAGAATCCTTCCATGCAATTTTCTGGTTCCTATTTGATGGCAATGGGAAGAGGGGAAGAGAGAAAAAAAAGAGAGGGGTATCTATTTATTCAACTGTTATATAGCTGTAAAAATGAAATAATAGGACACTTGAACAGTGCCTGGCATCTGGAGAGCGTTTAGTCAAGTGTTAACTACCATTTGGAGTCAGTCAATTATATAAGCTGAAAAATTTACCTCTCTGATCCTTCTTGGGGGATCAGTTTGCTCTTTCTTAAAGTCTAGGTGGGCAAGAATCCCTTCTGACTTTTCTATTTTTCTGTAAGAGCAAAAGGGAACAAGTGAATGCCTTTTAAAGTAACATGTGGGGCGGTGGGGAGGAATCCTTCAAAACTGAGTCACTGTGAGATTGGAGAGGCAGTTTTTTCAAGGACAGGGAACTGACAGCCAACCACAGGTGGCTGAGGAAAATGAAATTAATAAGGACGGATAATTCTAGGTCTAATTTACACTTGTTATACATATAACCCAGAAGGAACATGTAATCAAATAGCCTAATTCTCAAGACAACACTAAACTATTTCAAGCAGTCAAAACCAAGAAAATGGGAAGGAAATTGTTCGAAGATCTAGAAGGTCCCAGGAGCCTAAGTAAATATGCATGTGAAAAGTCAGCTGAAAACATATTAAAGTGGAGCAGTGTTCAAACAGCATGAACTTTGAAAAGTAAGTTGCCTGTCCACTCTCCACTTGGATGTTTGCACAAGATTCTGTCAGTGGAGATCACACACAAACTGTATTAGATATACTATAGGCTAAACCATACTCAGAACCAAAGCCAATCTTACAGCCATAAAATTGATTGAAACTCCTAGCAATCCTTTAGCACAGATCAGAACAAGCCTCAAAGGGTTTCCAAGGCCGTAACTCATAAGGAAAGCAGAATCCCTGACCTTTCTCTTCCGACAGCTGATGGATTCAGCTAACAACCTTTTATTTACCAGACACTCTTTAACCACTACACCACCAAGGACCACACCCAGGATCAAAATAAATACAAAATAAAGCCACTAAAATTGGAAACTAAATTCCACTTTAAATAGGAAAGTAGGGAAGAAACTCAGAAGAGCAGTAGTCCTTTGGAGGGGGCACAGAAAGGGTGCTGTTTCTAATGATTAACCTCTCATTTTTCATTACCTTAGGTTTAATAATAATAATTCTTTAAACTTTCAAAACAATATCTGCCCCAAATGAGCTCCTCATGCAAACTTTAAAATGAGTTTTTAAAGATACTTGCTTCATTAGGATGTCAGCAAAAAAAGCGGTAGCTTAAAAACCTAACAGCAATGACCTTCCTTAAAACAGTGAGGATGCTAACTCAGCCTTTTCAGGATTGTGTAAATTAACCAAAGAATCACAAGAATACAGAAAATCTTTTTTTCCAGAGAGACGACTGCACCTCAATAACAGAGCAAGGTTTGTGTCCCTTTAACTTACCCTAGTCCTATTTCTGCACTCCAAGATCTGCAGCAACCATACAGCCCAGCACCCTCACGCCGTGTTGAAAGCCAGCAGCTTAGTAGTCACCGAAAAGCAGAAACATGACTGGAGATATCCTGGCCTCTTCCCAGGAAATTTTCCTCAGAGCCATTTGTCAACAACATTGAAAGGCAAACTGTTTAACAAAGAGAATGCCTGAGGCAGAAAATAACAGTACAGCAAACAATAATTTAGTCAAAGAGCTTTTTTTAAAAATTTGGAAGTTAGATGCCCATAAAATAAAAATAAACAAACTTAACAAAGTTTTACAAAGTTAACATAAATTGACTCCAACTCCTGACAACCCAACAAATTCTAGGCAGAATAATCTAATTTCCAAAGTTGTTACATCATATTATTTTAAATGCCAGGTTTTCTTCTTATCATTTTCACTTATTTTGTGATTTGAATGAAAACTTACAGATCATACTAGTTTTTCATTAAACCGTTCATAGGTATTTTGTTTTATGACATTAGTTATTACACTCACAATGTAACTACACTTTTTCCACATCTACGCTTTGATTCTCATTCATCCTAGTTCTTCTTGTCTTCAGAGTATGATCTTTGGGTAAATGGGTTGTTTTCAGGAGTATATACCTTCCTTATGTTACTGTTCACCTTATAGGCCTATTGTTTAGCTCACAGTTGAACCTCAGTGTTGAGTTCTGTTCTAGGCTTAAAGGATGAGTATGGGCCATAGTCTTGAATGTTCCACTAGTCTCTCTTAGACCAGTAAACTTGGTCGTTTTTATAGTGTTTGAGTGCTGCACTTTCCCCCCCCCCC